TGCAAGTGTGATTTGAGTGAAATCAGCCCAGAACGAGCTACATGTTTCATTATTCAGGGACATGTGCATTTTCCCCCTTGCTCCTCACAAAGTTAAAATGCACGTTCTGTAGTCAAGAATTAATACATCCCGCTCCCGTTGTTTCCCCTTATGGTCAGTAGTGAAGGCATTGCAATTTTAATTTCCCTTGTCAAAATAAAAATCCTCCTTGTTACACACACACACACACACACACACACGCACAGGATTTTGCCTGCAATTAGAGGTGCTACCAACAGGTGGTAGTAGTGTACTGCTCAGACAACTGCTCTGCCCTGAGGGCACATGGTCTTAGAAATAAAACAAATTTTAAACTGATATTTAGAAAACAGTGTGATTTTTACAAAATGGCCATCCATAGAGAATATTACTAAACCCTATATTTAAAAACCTACCCTCCTCATTATGAACACTGGATGTTGTGTGTAAGTGATGAATCACTGAATTCTACTCCCAAAACCAATATTGCACTCACTGTATGTTAGCTAACTATAATTTAAATAAAAATTTGAAAAGAAAAAAAACCCTACAGGTACGGACCTACCTGTACACAGTCTCAGAAGTCAGATTCATTTACGAAAGCACGGGTAAGATCCGTGATCCTAGATCTCTTAGGACCCTATTGAATTCATGTTCTCCTTTCTAGTTTGATCCCTAGTTACTCTTAACTCACTTACTGTGTCCTTTGGTCAAATCCCAAAAATACACTCAAGTTCCTAACTCCCAGCTTTTGTTCAAGACATGAGAACCTTCCTGCTTGAGAATCTTTCCCCTTCTCATTTTTCAAGGACCAGTTTTAACACTGGTTCTTCCATGATACTTCCCATGATACTGTGGTATAAGGGAGCTCTCTTTCTATAAACTTTCTACCTCTCATATATAGAGATCGTTACTCTCTCCCTTGTGGTCATTGGTCAAGGTCTCATATTTTCCAATAGATGTAAGTCCCAGGAGGGCAAGAGCCGTATCTTACTTATCTTTGTACCACTGGACAACCCAGGTGGCCTTTCTGTGTTTCTGACAACTAAAATCTTCATTGATCAACTAAATCACTGACCAATGAAGACATACGTGCACGAGTAAAACAAAACGGCGCCTATGGTACAAATTTGATATGTTTACCTTTGGAACTCCTTTTTTATTAGCCGTGGCTTAATCTAGCCCTTGTTCCCAGATCTAGTTTGCAATGATTCTGATTGCCCCTATTAGCGACTGACTTTGGACTGAGAAATATTGGCGATCTTTAATTTTTAGCTTGTCTTATTTCTACATTTGTTTATTGTGGTAAGCTGTGTATAACAAAAGTTTTCCATTGTATCCATTTTTAAATGCACAATTAAGTGACATTAATTACATTCACGTTGTTGTGCGGCCAACACCACCATCTATCTCCAGAATTTTTCATCTTCTTAAAGCGAAACTCTGTACCCATTAAAGAATAGCTCTCCATTCCCACCTCTCCCAAGCCTCTGGTAACCTCTGTTGTACTCTGTCTCTATGAATTTGACTATTCTAAATACTTCACATAAGTCGAATCTTACAGTATTTGTCCTTTTGTGTTTTTTTTTTTTGTCCTTTTGTGTTTCACTTACTTTGTTTAACATGATGTCTTCAAGGTACATCCAATGTTATGACATCTGTCAGAATTTCCTTCCTTTTAAGGCTGTATAATATTCTACGATACGTACACACTACATTTTCTTTATCCATTTATCCATTGATGGGCATTTGAGTTGTTTCAATCTTTTTGCTACTATGAATAATACTGCTATGAACGTTGGTGTATTAATATTTGTTTGAGTCTCTGATTCCAATTCTTTGCAGTGGATATCTAGAAAGTGAATTACTGGATCATGTGGTAATTCTATGTTTAATCTTTTTTTGAGAACCACCATATTGTTTTCCACCATTTTACATTCTTACCAACAGTGCACAAGGCTCCCAATTTCTCCACATTCTCACCAACACTGATTATTTTCTATTTTCTGATAATAGCTATCCGAATGGCTATGAGGTTGTATCTCATTGTGGCCGTTTCTATATTTTAAGTAATGAGAACACACTAGTTTATTCATTTTTTTTATATTGACGATGAACTATTTCTATTTCTCTCTCATCATCGATTCATTTGCAGGCAGACACATCTCAGGGCTGGGGAAAGGCTCTGTGGTCATGCTGAGTCAGCAGCTCACACCTGACTCTCATCACATACCCATTCTTACTCTGTGAAATGAGGTGATGTGATTAATGGGTGGAGTTTCACCTCAAACTGCTGGATCTATCAAGGGGCATGAAAGCATGAGCAGGAATTACTTCAAGGCAGCCTTCCTGGGAGCCCACATGGGCTATGATAACCTATAATGGCTGCACTGCATTTGCAAGTGACTTAGAAGCTGTGGGGTGTGTGTGTGTGTGTGTGTGTGTGTGTGTGTGTGGTTTTTTTATATTTTTTTAAACAATTTTTTTTTTTTATTTCTAGGAGACAGAGAGAGAGACAGCATGAGCAGGGGAGGGTCAGAGAGAGAGGGAGATATAGACTCTGAAAGAGGCTCCAGGCTCCGAGCTGGCAGTCAGCACAGAGCCCGACACGGGGCTCGAACCCACGAACCGCGAGATCATGACCTAAGCGAAAGTCGGACGCTTAACCGACTAAGCCACCCAGGTGCCCCTGTGTGTGTGTTTTAAACAGCTTTATGGAGATAACTCACATACCATACAATTCACCCATTTGATGTGTATACTACAATGGATGACACAGGCTTCCAGTTATGGAATGAATAAGTCATTGGAATAAAAGGCACAGTATAAAGAACATGGTCAGTGACATTTTAACAGCATTACATGGTGACAGACGGTAGCTATATTGTGAACACAGCATAACGCATAGCCTAGTTGAATCATTTTGTTGTATACCTGCAACCAATGTAACATTGTGTGTCAGCTATACTCAAATTTTTAGAAATGTAAAAAAGTGTATGCTACAATAGTTTTGGTATATTACATTATTAATTTTAAAAACTTATATATCATAAAATTTGCCATTTTAACCATTTGTAAGTACACAATTCAAGGGCACCAATTACATTCACAGTGTTGTGCAACCATCACCACTACTTATTTCCAAAACTTTTCCATTATCCCAAACAAAAACTCTTCACCCACCATTAAATTCCCATTTCTCCTCATTCCAGCCCCTGGTAACCCCTTAATTTAGTTTCCATCTCTAGGAACTTGCCTATTCTGGATACTTCATATAAGTGAAATCATACAACTGGACAGTATTTGTCCTTTTGTGTCTGGCTTGTTTCACGTTGCATAATGTCTGAAAGTTTCATCCATGTTGTAGCATGTATCAGGACGCCATTCCTTTTCGTGGCTGGGTAATTAGTCCATGTATGGATAGACCACATTTGGTTTGTCCATTCCTCTGCTGACGGACACTGGGGTTGTTTCCACGTGATGATCATTTGATGTGACCTGTGCCTCCCTCAGCCCCAGCTCTCCCACCCCAGCCCCCCTACCAAAGCTGCTCAACCAGAAGCTGGGGCAACACCGGGGCTCGTCCAACTTGTCCAAGGCTGTCCTGGCCTCTGTTCAGATGGGGGACACTGTTCAGAGTCAATGTATAGAAAAGCCATGATCGGGGCGCCTGGGTGGCTTAGTCGGTTAAGCGTCCGACTTTCGCTTAGGTCATGATCTCGCGGTTCGTGGGTTCGAGCCCCTCGTCGGGCTCTGTGCTGACTGCCAGCTCAGAGCCTGGAGCCTGTTTCGGAGTCTGTGACTCCCTCTCTCTCTGACCCTCCCCTGTTCACGCTGTCTCTCTCTCTCCTAGAAATAAAGGAAACATTAAAAAAAAAAAAAAATCCATGATCATTTTAAGAGACCATTTTCTCACCGCGGGGCACCCCTGCAAATGCACGTGCGCTATATCTTTTTGATCGATGCCATCACTTTAAATGTGGAGGTGTGCCAGTTAGTGTTGTCCTTCAGTTCCGGCTCACCCTCCCAAACCTGCCATGTGCTGTTGGACTGGGCTGGGGCTTTGCAAACCACATTTCTACTTTCCCTGCAGGCTCCACCTCAGGCTCTGCCAGTCACGTGAACTGGAGAGTCTAAGAGGCTGGAGTGGGAAAAAAAAAAAAAGGGGGGGGACCAGCTCCTTCTTTTTTTTTTTTTTTTAATTTTTTTATTTATTTCTAGGAGAGAGAGAGAGAGAGAGAGAGACAGTGTGAGCAGGGGAGGGTCAGAGAGAGAGGGAGTCACAGACTGAAACAGGCTCCAGGCTCTGAGCTGGCAGTCAGCACAGAGCCCGACGCAGGGCTCGAACCCACGAACTGCGAGATCATGACCTAAGCCAAAGTCGGACGTTCAACCGACTGAGCCACCCAGGCGCCCCGACCAGCTCCTTCTTGATTGCTTCCTGTCCCTTGGAGCCCCCATCCAAGCATACTTCCTCACCCTAGAAGCGGTTCCTTCCTGAAGCAGGGGGTGCAGCCAGGGGGCAGTGTTTTCAGTGGTTAGAGAATCAACTTCGTGGAACCCCTGTTCCACTTGGAGAACCAGCACCCATTGGTGGGATTGCCCTCCACCCAGATCTGCATCCTGGCCCCACGAGGTCTCTCTTACCAGCCCAGACACACCAGTGCCAGTGGAGGAGGATACTTCCTCTCAGATGAGTTTCTGCTCCTCAAGTTATCCCAATTCTGGGATATCCTGAATTTGACAATATCTTTTCCTTTTTTTCCCACCAGCTCTAGGACTGGTTTAAATAATTTTATACCCCTTTAACACCTATTTGTACTAAATTCTCAGTTTGAATCCCTGGTTATGAGATGGCGTCCCCCCCGTCCTCTCCCAGCCCCCACACAACACCTGGACACCACATACAGACTGTGAGCACGTAATGGGTTGGGGATATCATGATCCAGTCAAGACAGTGACTATGTCGTGGTGAGCTCTAGAGTGGGTCAGACCAGTGAATCGGGGGATCTCCTCTGAAAGGAACGGAAGCTCCACTGTGGGTCACTGAAAAACGGCCACGTACCCTTTGTGAGTATTGGGACTGTAGGAGTTCTTCCAGGTCAGGAAACTTTTCTTTCTCTTATGCATGGAATATAGAGGGTCTTGGTAGTGTGATCCAGGCACGGCAGTCTCAGGTGATGGGGAAAAGGTAGCTCCTGGTAAATTCATCAAACATTCATCTCTCTTTACTTCTGTGATCTCCCCAAGCAAAAATTGGTTTAAACATCTTAGTTCTGCTAGGGAGGATTAGGGGGGTGAGTCTAGTATCCATACCGGAATCAAATTCTAAGAAGGAGCAGTGACTTCCTGCCTCAGGTGTGAGTCACAGCTTTAATTCATAAGAACTCCTCAGTGGAGAAGGTGAGCCAACCCCCATCCCCTGCCACCCCCAACCAGACTGATTTGACAATAGATCTGGGGCTTGAGACAAGAGTCATTGATGAATGCTAAAACTATTGAGTGAAAGTTGAAAAGGAACAAGGTATTAAAGAGCCTGAAAGTATCTCCTCACAGGCTATTTATTAGTTACAAAGGGAATCAGTAACAGTGGAGAAACCTGGCAGACACCACCCTGTGTGAGTGACCTATGTTGACATCACTCATTATGGGACCAACTGATGTCATGTGTCCTGAGTATGGTGCATGAGCAGGACAAACATAACTTATCTAGTGCTTGTGCCCAAAATGCAGAATCTGACCCTATTTAGGTCAAACTCAAATTGTGGCATCGCTTGCAAGGCAACTGACTCATGCTCCTCAAAAATGTCAGTGTCATGAAAGCTACACAAAGACTGAGGAATATTCCAGATTAACGGACACTAAGGGCACATGGCAACTACTTACCATACACGGTTAAGATTGGAGTTTGGGTCAGGGGAAATTTTCCCATAAAGAGCATTTTTAGGATGACTGGCAAAATTTCAGTATGGACTATATATTTGATAATAGTATTATATGGATGTGAGCTTTAAAAAAAATTTGACAGTTACTGTGTTTGTGTCAGAGAATGTCCATGTTCTTGGGAAATACACAGGGAAGTGTTTGTGGGTGAAGGGATTAATGTCTGCAACTAACTCTGTTTAGAAAAAGTGTGGGGAAGGTGAATTTTAGGTAATAGACATGGGGAGAAAGAGAAGAGGGAGAGAGAGAGAAATGGTAAAGGAAATGAGGCTAAATGTTAATAGTTGGTCAATCTTGGTAAGAAGTTATTTCAACTGTGGAAGTTTTCGTACTATCCTTGCAACTTGCTTGTAAATTTGGAATGACTGCAAAGCAGATGACACTCAAAAACCAAGAATTGGCTGAAATACGAAGCAGCCTCCAGCGTATAAGACATTTGCTATCCCCTTGTGGGCTCCTCCCTACCATGCTGTTCCCACTCTGGACACGACAGAGACTGGGTAACAAGGAGATGGAGATGGGGGCACTTAACAGTGTAAGAGGGAGAAGAAGAAAAGACATGAACCCAGTTCATCTGCCTGGGGTGGCTTCCAGCCTGAAGCAGGTCGGGGCTGCAGTTGGTGGTTGAGGAGAAGGCTTAACAGCACATCGTGGCTGGAATTGTGAGCAAGGTAGGATGTGGACGTTGTAATATCTGAAAGGAGACAATGTGTGTCACCTAAAGGGACGCTCCAGCTCCTGAGGCTGCAGGAACTTCTACCCAAGGGCAGAGGAAGATGATTATCACTAAATATGCAAAGGAATGGCGAGACACCAGAGATCTTCGTGTCCCCTCGGCGATTCCCCACTGCTGGCCCAGGAGAAAGAGGTTGTTCTGGTTGAGAGAACAACTGTTGCTTCTTCGTACTCTCACCACATACTTACTTCTGGAAGCCCACACTGAGGAGGGTTCTCTCACTTGCTGTAAACTGCTTGGATGATGTGCTAGAAAAATCCGTTAACTCCTCAGTTACCAGGTGACGCTTACCAGGGGTTCCTACTGTAAGGTCACAAGTCTAAACGTCTAAACCAAACTGACTCCATGACAGGCTTTAAGTTTCCCCTCTGAACTAGAAGGCCTGAGTTTCAGCTTTTCCCAAAACTACCATGTAGTTACACATTGCCCAAGGCAGGAGAAACCACCCTTGCAACACCCAATCCAGAAAGGCCAGCGACCACCCTCCACATTGTTAAGGGAGAGGCCTGGAGATAGAAACTATAGATAGGACCCTGTTACCTAATGTTAAAGTTAACCTGTTAGTCGCTGAACAAGACCCTAGGCTCGCTCTGTGATTGGTTGAATTTAAAGGTACTCTAAATGTTGTAATTGGATCCCGCCAAAAGTAACGAATACTCTAGACAATGCGTATGGTCAAACCCACTGTCAATGATGTTGAATTATTATGATTGGATCACTGTTCCCATGTCACAACTTCTGTAACTCCCCCGTCTCAAACCCCATAAAAATCCTACTCTGCCCTTGTTCGAGGCTCTCAGCACGGACCCATACGCTGGTGAAGTCTGTGAGCCCGAGTTTAAGCCCGTAATAAAGCCCTTTGCCTTTGCATGCGTGACTCAGTCTCCCTGGTGGTCTCTGGTCGGTGAGGATACTGCGATCTGGGTGTAACAGTACAGGAGTTGAGTGGCAGCTGCTGGGGACAGAGGAAGGAGCGGACAAAGAGGAGGAATGAGGTGGGGACGGTCGGTAGACAAGCTGGCCCCTCACACTCAGGGCGGAGCCCCGAAAGCCACCTCACGCTGACGTGGGCTGCTGATTTTTGCTTATATAGAGTTATTCCCTGTGTGGTGTGAAGGTTTTCAGAAAGCAAACATTTCATCCCAGTCTTTCATCTTGTTGGATTTCCTCTTGGGGGTTATCTTCTTCACCTCAGAAAACTTACAAAGGGCTCCTAATACCCAGGATAGCCCGAGGGTCGCTCACAGAGACAGAGGCAGAAGGAAGGAGGGGCCAGATCGGGATGGGGCTCTGTCCTGCCTCTTGGCCAAATGACCTTGGATTTATCACTTCACCGCTATTGGCCTCAGTTTGTCCCATCTGGGAAAGGAAAGTGGTCTCAGGCCTTTCCAGTCTGTGAGTCTTTGATCATCATTGGAGAAATCTTTGGAGAGCTTTAAGTAGTCCTATATGAATCAGGGTGCAAGCAAAAAACAGACAATATACACACGTGGTGGTATTTGGGGCAAGTTCAGTGGAGACAACTTACAGGGTATGGGCTGGGGGAAGCACACCACAGGGTGAGTACCGCCTCCGTGGGCTGGCAGTATTGGAGGACGCCATTATCACCCTCAGGCCTAAGGGCACAACGTGCAGACAGGGGGCTCAGTGGAGGCGACATCTGACCCTGGCCGATCTAAAGGGACTCCAGCCTGCAGCTACCTCCAGAGAGGGATCAGGAGAACACAGATCTGACCTCCCACCCTTAGCTCCCTCTCGCCTCTGGCTCCATTGACCGAGGACCATGGGAACACGGCAAGCATGGGAGCCCCTTTGTGCATCCTGGGTGCAGAGCAGGTAGACGGGGGTGGGGGTAGAGTGGGAGGTGTGAACGAAGATACCCAGCATGGGCCACCCTTCTGACCTCTAGTTTGTGCTCTTGTCCTGTGTCCAGTTGAAAAATGTGCATCCCAGGCCGCCTGGGTGGCTCAGTCGGTTAAGCGTTTGACTTCAGCTGAGGTCACGATCTCACAGTTGGTGGGTTCGAGCCCCGCATCAGGCTCTGTGCTGACAGCTAGCTCAGACCTTGGAACCTGTTTCAGATTCTGTGTCTCCCTCTCTCTCTGACCCTCCCCGGTTCACGCTGTCTCTCTCTCTCTTTCAGAAATAAAAAAAAGAAAAAAGAAAAAAGAAGAAAAATGTGCGTCCCCAGCATGAGACCTCACACACTGCCCATCAGTTACTGTACCATTGTGGGGTGATATCAGTTCAGCCGGAGTCCCACCTGAAATCTAAACCATTAGCCACTGCCAGTGCCCTTCATGTTAGGTAACAAGGAAAAGAAGAGCAGGGAATGGTTAATTTCTGTAACTGACATGGTTCTTGACTGTAGCAGGTCGCAAATCCAGGATGAGAACCATAGCTGTCTTCTGCCTTCCGCCTTCTGTGTTCCCCTCTCTTATGCCAGCTTCAGGTAGGTTGATCACCTGAGCCTTCATTCTGGAGGGATCTGAGTCCTTAGTGATTCTCTGTCCCCTGTCTAGGACTACCGGACAAGGAAGTACTTGGAAGTATCCTAGTGAATTTTCTGGGACCTGCAAATGAACTGCAACAGCACCTAATTCCCCATTAGGTGATTTGCCATGTGGTGATGGGAATCAATAACCCAGGCCCACATCGTGATACCCTTCCTTCTCTGTCGATTGGGCAACATGAGAATCCCTAAGAAACAGCTATGTCTTGGCTCCCTGGGTGAACCATTTCCTCCTTGGATGCTGTATCAGTCAGAGTCCGCCAGAAAAACAGAACAAGGGGCACCTGTGTGGCTCACCGGTTAAGCGTCCAACTTCCGCTCAGGTCATAATCTCACTGTTCGTGAGTCTGAGCCCCTGCATCAGGGTCTGTGCTGACAGCTCAGAGCCTGGAGCCTGCTTTGGATTCTGTGTCTCCCGCTCTCTCTGTCCTGCCCCACTCACACTTTGTCTCTCTCTCTCTCTCAAAAATAAATAAACATAAAAAAATTTTTTTAAAGAAAAACAGAACAAGTAGGTTATAACATTAAGAGATTTATTGCAAGGAATTGGCGATATGAGTATGGAGGCCAGTGAGGTGAGCCTGAGCCCCCCAGTGCAGGCCAGCGGGAAGGGTGGGCTACAACTTTGGACAGGAGCTAATGTCTCAGTTCACAGGGGAGTTTCCTCTTCTGCAGGAAACCTCAGCTGGGCTCTCAAGGCCTTTCAACTGGTTGGGTCAGGCCCACCCAGATGACTGAGGATAATCTCCTTTACTTGAAAGGAATTGATTGTAGATGTCAATCACCTCTACAGAATACACAGCAACACCTAGGCTTGTTTTTTGATTAAATCATGGGACTAGAGCCTGGCCAAGCTGACACATTAAACTGACCATCACAGGCACTGACAAATTCCAGTCTTCAATTCCAAGATGAGAGGGATGGGAAGCAAACTCCCCTTCAGCAGGTTACATAGTTATAATAGTGGGAGGGGTAATCTTATCTCCACCCCCTGGCTTCCCAGCCCAGTGCATTCTGGTAAGAGGAAGATGGCCCCATATAGTGGCTCTCCTTAAAGGCATGTGGGACAGGTGCAAACAACACTGTGACATCCAGCCTGTCATCTCTCAGCTAGCACTGTCGCTGAGTCTTCAGCAGGCCATCCACTCTGTATTAAGCTGGAAACTTTGAGTGATGTGGCATTTGGGGACTAGCCCATTGCCACACTTTTTTCCCCCAAATGTAAGATACAAAAGGGGAAATTTCTTTTTAATGTTTATTTATTTATTTTGAGACACACACAGAGAGAGAGAGAGAGAGAGAGAGAGCAGGCATGAGCAGGAGAGGGGCAGAGAGAGGGAATCCCAAGCAGGCTCCACACTACCAACGTAGAGCCCGATGCAGGAGCAGAAATTCACGAACCGTGATATCATGACCTGAGCCCAAATCAAGAATGGGACGCTCAACCAACTGAACCACTCAGGAGCTCCACTCCACAAAAGGGGAAATTTTGATAAGAGATATGTTGGTCCCTTACGGGGTAGAGTTGATTTTTTTTTTCATATCTTACCAACAGTCATGCTTTCCACAGGATGTCAAAGGATGCACCAAATCTTAGCAAACCAGGAAAACATTTTCCCTACTTCGTAGGTACTTATATTTCAAACTTAGAGTTTCAGATCTTCTTGAATTCCATGAAGTGTTTTATGAAGCTACAGAAAATATAAACTGTTGATACCTTGTCCGAATAAACCTAGACTTTGTTAATCTAGCTGCACATTTGGATGCAAATGTAAATTTCAGCAAATCTCTTTCACTCTAGAAACTTCTTACCAAAGGAAATGAAAAGATCTTTCCTGCTCATTGTCCTGCATTTGAGGCATGTGATTTTCCTCTTGGGGACAGTGATGCTTTTGTAATGGAAGTTCCTGGTCAACTTTCAGTTTCCTCAAAACATGTGGATGCACTTCATGAGACTTGTGACTTGAGAGAAATAGGAGACAGCCCCTTAGTCCTGTGCCTGGACCATGGCTGTCATTCTTCCTTGCCACGGGATAAGATGCTGGCCTGTTGCAAAATCCTATTTTCAAAGTCTGGGACAAGAAGAATGTGCTTCCTTGATTTGGAAAGACATTAAGGATGAGGATGGAGGAAAGGACTGTAGCAAAAACAGAATGAATATGCTTATGGTCAAAACCTGTTTGATGATCTTTGAAGGGGCCGCAAGGAGCCTAGCACAGGATGAACTGCACCTGGGTTGTTCTATGTTTATGTTTTTTAGTAAGACTGTTTGAGAACTTTAAAAAAATCACTAGAAAAGGGCAACAGGATTTTCTCAAAAAAATTTTTTTTTCAAAATCTGTAACTTACTTGTACCATAACTTAGTTTCCCAAGTTAAAGGTATCTCTGGCTTTAAAACAATTATCCCCGAGAAAAAGCGGTTTATCCTGTGCCATCTAAGGGGCTTTTGAGTGCATAAAATGGTGGGCCTTTTGGATATGGGTACCCGCATAATGAGTTTATAATGAGCAATAGCTGATTTACCAAAACAAGCCAGTGGGTAGAAAGGGGATGGGCATTTCTGGAGATCTGGAAACAAATTCCTGCAAGTCTAAAAACTTGCTGCTGATAGGGCTCCCTACAGAAACGGAAGAGAGACAGAGACATACAGAAAGACCGAGACAGAAATTCTAAGAAATCTGAGCCTGTGCTCTTAGGGCCTTCAACTGATTGGACGAGGCCCACCTAGATTATAAGGGTCATCTACTTTACTCAAAGCCGACTGATAATAACTGTTAATCACATCTAGGGGCCCTTGGGTGGCTCAGTCGGTTGAGCATCTTACTCTTGATCATGTTCTCACAGTTCATAAGATTGAGCCCCTTGTCCGGCTCTGCACTGGGCATGGAGCCTGCTTAAGATTCTCTCGCTCTCTCTCTCTCTCTCTCTCTGTCCCAACCCCTCCAAAAAATGTTAAGCACATCTAAAACATAGCTTCAAGGCGACATCTAGACTGGTGTTTGACCAGGCAACCGGGCCTCCCAGCCCAGCCAAGATACATATAAAATTAACCTCCACAATAGGGAAACATTCCATGTTCAAATGCTTTTGTTGAGAATATACTCAGCTCAGTGTCATCACCTTGGACTGATGTCCGGCATCAGGGTAACGTGGGCCTCATAAGAGAAGAGCTGTGGTTTCGAAGTGAATTTTCTTTTGACTACGTTCAGTTTTATCACTACATATAAGAAAAAGCAGGATGTCCTAAAGGCTGTGGGTAGTTCAGAGAAGTATTAGCAAAGGAGGAAACAAGAAGAGTAAAACTATCCCACGGTATCACTGGATAGAAAGACACATACTATTGTCACACAATATAAATATAAATACTTACGTAGTCGCATAGTGTTTCTGTTTTCCCTCTAAAAATCTTACATTTATGGGAGCACCTGGGTGGTTCAGCCGGATAAGCATCTGATTTCGGCCCAGGTCATGATCTCATGGTCCATGAGTTCAAGCCCCACGTCAGGTTTTGTGTTAACAACTCAGAGCCTGGATTCTGTGTCTTCCTCTCTCTCTACCCCTCCCCTGCTCACGCTCTGTCTCTGTCTCTCAAAATGATACATAAACATTAAAATAATTTAAAAAAAATAAAAGTCTTACATTTATGTATCTTAATATAGCCTAGAAAATTTAAATACCCAATGGAATTAAAATAAATTGCTGTATCAGAGGCCAGAAAGAAACATGATCAAAGTATTGTTATATTTTCTCACATATATTATTGTTTACTTAGTTCTGCTACTAATTACTATTAATTCACTAGTCTTATTGTCGTTTTGTTTCAATAATAACATTATGTAACAGGAAAGTGAGTAACGTAGAATAATACATAATTTCAGGTACTTATTTTGTATATCTCCCCTCCTCTTCTCTCTCTCTTTTTTTTTTAAATTGAAGTCTGGTGGACACACAACGTTACATTAGTATTCAGTGTACAACACAGTGACGGAACAAGTCTCTATGATGTGCTCACCACAAGTGTAGCTGTCATCCATTACCACACAACACTATTACAATATCATTGATTATATTCCCTTTCACGTACCTTTTTATTTTTCATGTCTTCGTGTTAAAGGAATAACACACATGGATCTGAATATTTGTTATATATTGTGTTACTACAGGTGGTGATTGTGTTTCAGTGTTTACTTGTGATTCTTTATTTCTGACATGGTTCTGTCCCAGGTTGACTTTCTCAAAGGCTGGTCACTCTTCCTGCTGGCCAAACCCAGCCGGGAGCCAGAGACTAGGGGAGCCTGCGGATGTAACCCATGTGGAGGCAGAGGCCAGAGCAGAGTAGAGGTGACGTGAGATGGATGTGGAGAAAGAAACAGACACCCTCTCAGTTTCCCAGCATCAAAGATGGAGAACGGATGCTGGTGTGATCCCAGATGTTCCGGGGGCCACCGACGGCAACATTGATGGATCTGGGAAATTCTTAGAGCGGCTTCCTAATCTCTTTCCAAGAAATGAAGGTGCTTTTGGCATCCCCAAGAGTGTCAGCTGAGTGTGACTTTTCATTCATGGGCCGACTATTCATCAAAAGTGTACAGTAGTAATAATTTTTAAAAAGTGTGTAGTGATCCTGTGATTCAATTTCCTCATCTGTAAAATGGGAAACACAAAGCACAGATTTATTGTGGGACCATGGATAACACATATAAAAGATCCTTATAAAACTTAGCAGTTAAATATTTTCTTGGCATTTCTCTCTTCTCCCTTCCAGGCCATCGGAATCTTTCAAAAAAATCCCAATTCTCTGAAGTTGGATATTTGATTCCAACCAAGCAGGGATACCCACCATAAAAACAGCAGACATTTGTTGAGGGTTGACCGTGTGCCAGATCTCCGGGAAGTGCTTTTACATGGATTATTTTATTTAATCCTCATAACCACGTTAGGAAGTTATATGACATATTTCATGATGAGGAAAATAAGGCTTTAAAGCATTAGACAACTTGGCTCAAGTTTCCATAACTGGTAAGTAGTAGACCCTAGATTTAGTCTCAAGCAAGCTGACGGAGCCCACACTTTTGAGCACTTTGTAAGCCAAGATAACAAGCAGGCAACTAGTCCCTGTAGGGAGATTTTCGATATATTGTAGAATGGCGGGAAGACATGTATACAGCAGGGAATATTAAACTCCATCAAGATTCATGCTTTGAGCCTTCCATTGGCACCAACACAGACTAATCATAGATTTTTTTTTTAAATTGCCACACTCAAAACAAATAACATCTCTGCGATTCAGAGCCACAAAACAGAAATGGGACCGAAGCTGCCAGCCTGCTGAGGAGGCAAGAGCTTACTGGCTGAAACTCCAAATGGCTCATGCAAAGCAGGGATGGAGTCAGGGATGGGGTGCAGCTCTCCTGGTAAAGAGGATGAAACATGTTTCTATGCACCGCTGCTTAAATCACAGAGGCACACCTATTAAAATGAGGAAAAGCAAAGCCTTGCAGCCACGATCTGGGCATTTTACCAAATGGCTCAGTGACTATGACTACAATGTCCCCAGTTTATCTCCTTAAGATGGACACTCTGAAAACCCACCAGAAGATGCAGTTCTGAACAGAAGACCACAGGGGGCAGGTGAAAACAACCTCCTCCCCCAACCCAACCCCTGCCCAAAAGAGAACGGTGAGTATAAAGCCACTCCAACTACAATAAAATGAAACAAAACAGAAACAAACTCAGTCTTGATGAGCTCACACCTTACCAACAAAATCAATGGTCAGGAGATGAAATCACTTTAGGGAAAATAAAAATAATAGCGTCATCTGAAAAAGAGTTTTAAAACTACCTTGCTGAATATCTTCTAAGAGTTAAAGGAAGAGGCAGTAAAGATGAAGAAGATACAGAATTAAGGATTTAAGCCAGGCAGAAACAGAAAATGAACAGATGGGTATGAAAAAGAGTCATTCAGAAATCCTGGACATAAAGCAGCTTATCACTGAAATTTAGAAAGCTTAATAGGGCAGGAGAAACTCTGCATTGGATGGCTAAAGAGAGAATTGATGAACTGAAAGATCACAATGGAGGAGTTCACCCAGAAAGAAGCTCAGAGGGATAAGTTGTCTGAAACTGCCAACCTTATGTGATGTTTGACATCATTAGTCTCGGACTGTATTTTTAAAAAATAGCTAGAGGGGCCCCTTTGTGGCTCAGTCGCTTAAGCATCTGACTACAACTCAGGTCATGATCTCACAGCTCGTGTGAGTTCAAGCCCTGCGTTGGGCTCTGTGCTGACAGCTCAGAGCCTGGGGCCTGCTTCAGAGTTTGCATCTCTGTCTCTCTCTCTGCCCCTCCCCCACTCACACACACACACTCTCTCTCTCTCTCAAAAATAAATAAACATAAAAAAAACCTAAAAAACAGCTAGATACTGGTTACAAGCCAGTCCTAAAACAAAATGAGACAAATGTTAAACATATGGGATATGAAAAGTTACCATGTATAAAAACTGTGACGAAAATGCTGTATTAGTCAGGGTTCTTCTGAGATACGTAACCAACAAGATGTATATGTGTGTATATGTGTACATGTATATGAATATGCATATAGGTATGTGAGTGTGTATATGTATGTAAAGAGATTTATTATAAGGAATTAGTTGGGGTGCCTGGGTGGCTCAGTCAGTTAAGCGTCTGACTTCGGCTCAGGTCATGAGCTCATGGCTTGTGGGTTCGAGCCCCACTCCGGGCTCTGTGCTGACTGTCAGCTCAGAGCCTGGAGCCTATTTCAGATTCTGTGTCTCCTTCTCTCTCTGACCTTCCCCTGCTCACACTGTCTCTCTCTCTCTCTCTCAGTAATAAATAAAACATTTAAAAAATTAAAAAAAAAAAAAAGGAATTAGCTCACATGATTATGGAAGCTGACAATGGTCAAGAGCTGCAGGGGGAATCGACAAGCTGGGGACCCAAGAGCACCAATGCTGTAGTTCTAGGCTGAAGGCCAGCTGGCTCTATACCTGGGGAGATTAGATGTTTTAGTTCAAGTCCAAAGGCTGGACAAAGCCGATGTCTCAGTTCGAAGCCCATCAGGCAGGAGGAAGGCTCTCTTACTTGGAGGAGGCTCAGCATTTTGTTCTATTCAGATCCTCAACCGATTGGATATAACCCACATCAGGAACCGCTTTGCACAGTCTATTGACTCAAATGTTAAGCTCATCCTGAAATACCCTCGCAGACATACCAAGAATAATTTTGATCAAATATCTAGTTACCCCCGGGCCAGTCAAGTTAACAAATGAAATGAACCATCACACATGTCTTTGGGTAATATACCAGGCACAGCACGCCAGTCAGTCAGGGAAATAAAGGAGGAAAGGCCCTTTCTTTGTGGCAACATAGGAGAGTGGATCACAGGAAAGGGGTCTCTAGTGCAGATGGCTGAGATTCTGGATGCTACCACAGAAAACACGTGTTCGTAGAAGCTAGAGAGAGTCTGGATGAGACTCTCGCCCCTACCAACTGTGCAACCTTGGACATATTACTCAATTCCTCTGTGCCTCAGTTTTCTAATCTTTCAAAATAGAATAGTAACAGTACCTACCTCAGAGGGATATTGAGAAGACTTTAAAAGATGATACATAAAAGCCTTAGCAAAATAGCCAAATTATAATAGCTCTCCAATGGTCAGCACTGGGGACGCAGACAGCTGACCCGTTCTCTGGTCACAACTAGATCCACCTTCTTTATGCCCAGCAAAGATTGTGCAGAGGAAGGATCCGGGATACAAGATCCAACAGACTTGGGTCTAACACCTTCTCTGCCGCCTGCATATTAGCTATGAGTATCGGAGTCCCATCAGCCCCATTTATACTCCGATCGTCTGCTTCCCTTCTACCAGCTGAGGACAGCACGCCTGCCTCTGGAGAAGTGTTTCTAAACAGGGGGCAACTTTTCCCCTGGTGACATTTGGCAATGTCCAAAGACATCTTTGATGGGCATGGTGAGGCTGGGCTTTGCTCCTGGCATCCAGTGGGTGGAGTTTAGTGGGGCACCTCAACATTCCACAAAGCACAGGACAGTCCCCCACAACAAAGAACCATGTGGCTTAAAGTGTCCATCGTGCTCAAGTAGAGAAGCTCTGGGATAGAAAACTTAAATGAAATCGTGTTTATAAAAGGCTTGGCTTGAGAGATAAAAATTAAGGCTCTCATCATCATCAATCATCATCACCATCATAGGATGAACAGATAGACAGTATGTGGGTTTCTGCCTCCTTCCCCTCCTCCCTCCCTGCCTTCCTCCTCCTCCCTGCAGGCTGGGTGCTAGCAAGGCCAGACAATGCTCCTGGCATTCTTGTGCTCAGAACCCAGGAGGAGGGAGCCACTCATGATCTCCCATAAAGGTCTGCTGGCTGCAGGTTGCCCATGCCAAGTTCTGGAACGCTGCTTCCAGCCAGTCACACCCAGAGCACCTTCTGGCCCGCTCCGCGGATCCAGCCTTCCAAAGCTCCTGCGCTGACTTGGCCGGAACCTGGGGCCTGGGGACACTGTGGCCAACCTCAGCCCCCACACGGGCTCTGCCACACAGGCTCCAAGCCCACCGCCTCCAAGCTCAGCCCTTCTCCATGACCCCTTCCTGAAACCTTAAAGGAGGTTCTTCTTTGCAACCACATATATGCTTGTTCTCGGCGCAGACACTGACGGAGGAGTGGGTGGCCAAGGAGAAGAGCTAAGGGGGCAGAAGAGTGATGTCTGGCCCCTACGGGAGGGCTGTCCCACGCTCTAGACTGACTCCCCTGCAATGTCCCGGGACACAAGTCTTCCTCCCACCTCTGCAAGGGAGGCGGTTGGGGGGGGGGGTGGTGGTAATAGCCGACCACACAGAAGAGAAGCACGACAGAAGTGTTCTTGGCCAACATATGTGCAAGCTGCGGCCTTCTCTCCAAGTCCTCCTCCCCGGAGCCGGGTGTTCACGATCCTGTCCTCGGCGGGATTCAAAAGGCAGGGGCGGCAGAGACCCCACTCACACCCCTTGGATGGGGCATTGCTGCTTTTCATTTGTTCAGCCCCAGCGGAGAAAAGTCTAGGCGCAAAACGTTCCCCAGGGGCTGTAGACCTCCCCTTTGAAGTAATTCCTGGACAATAATACTGTAACTTAAACAAAGCCCGCTCTTCTCTGGCGAGCATATTTTCTCCTGGAGAACCGCAGCTGGGGCCAGGCTTCCTCCCCAGAACACGCTTTCCTGGTCTGCAATGGGTTGAACTCCCCCCCACCCCCGTAAGAGAGCCATAAACACAGAGATACCAAAGAGTTAATTTGCGTTTTTTAAACCTCCTTCCCAATGCCCGCTCTCATTCCTGCATAAAATCCTCATGTCCAGACATCAAATCAGTAAGCCCTGTTGCCTGTCAGAGAATACAATGTCAGGCCATTAGTATGTTAATAAGTCCGGAGGGCGACAGGTGGCCTACTAGACAGCTCAATTAAGCTGCTCATTAAACACACGCTAACGAACAGCCCAGGCAGGGCCTGAACAGCACC